AATTTTGGTATTGGTGTTCTTAAGATATATTGGAAAATGATCACTGCTATGAAGGTCATCAGCGACCTTCCAATTAAAATCCAACAGAAGTGAAGGAGTACATATTGTTAAGTCAATGCAAGTGTATGTACCCGTTCCTGGGTGCAGATAAGTCGGAGACTTGTTATTAAATAGACACAAGTCGTATCTAGCAACAAAATCTTCAACTTTTTTCCCTCTGTCACTTATGTATTTCGATCCCCATAAAATGTTATGGGCATTAAAATCACCAAGTAAAACAAATGGCGTGGGGAGTTGTTGAACAAGTATGTCTAATTCGTTTGGTGATAATTTAGTATTTGGTGGTATGTAGACAGAACAAAATGTAATCACCCGATGTAGAGTGACACTTACAGCAATGGCTTGTAGATTTGTATTTAAAGGGATGTTTCTATGTGGGGCTCTATTGTCCGTATCTTTTAAAAAGGTTTCCTGAAGACATAACAAAGCTGGATCATATTTATTTAAAAGCAGAAGAATCTCTTTGTAATTAGCTTTAAGTCCTCGACAATTCCATTGTATTATTGTGTTTTTCATTATAACTTTAGAATGGAGGTTTTGGATTTAGATTAGACTTTTCGAGGGAAACATCTATAGGGTTATTTATCTGGGGGAAGTACGGGTGTGATTCTTTTGTTAGGTTTTGAGCTACCTTGAGAACACGGAGCAGTATCTTCTGCATCCATGTTCTCAATGTCCCCAAACTTATTGAATAGTTTGATGGGGTCATCTGACCCCTTTTCTTGTATATTTCCATTGGATTTGCTTTTCTTTGGTGACTTAGTTTGCTGATTGTCGTTAAAGGTCGTTTTGGGTAGATGCCGTGGTTTTTTGTGCTTGGTAATGTGGGGTGTTATGTTTTAATGTTGAATCGGGTATATCTTTTTGAGTTTGAGCGTCCTTCGATGTCTTAGGACTGCTTTTCACTATAATAGAGAAGGATGGGCCAGAAAGAGATGTTTTTGACTGTACTAGCTTTCTAGCCTCTGGGTAGGGAATGTTGGAAGTATATTTGATCCTCTGAATTTCCTTCTCTTGTTTCCAGGTATCACAATCCTTGGAATTTGCGTGGTGTTCTTTTCCACAGTTGATACAATGTGGAGTTGCTTTGCATTCCGATTCCTGGTGAGAGTTGTCTCCGCATCGACCACATGTTTGGTTTCTTGAACCATGGTGTCCATATTCTTGACACTTGTAGCATCGAAGTGGGTTGGGGATATATACGTCAACCTTCACTTGCAAAAAACCAACTTTGACCACTTTGGGTACTGTTGGTTTATTGAAGGTGAGTATAATGGTGTTGGTGTCCTGCAGATTGTTGTTACGTTTGATACGTATTCTGCGGACTGTAGTGACACCTTCATTTTTCATTCCTTCAATGATATCTGTGTCGGTGACTCCAGCCAAGTCACGACAGCGAATAACACCTTTGGACGTATTAAATGTTGTGTGGGCGAACGACGACGCTGGAATATCGAAGAATGTTTTTATTTTTTTGAGGTTTTCTGTTTGACCTCGTCGCTGACATTCAACAAGTAGACAACCCGATTTCAACTTTTTAACACTTTTTGGCGATCCAATCAATCCGGTTATTGTCTTTTCTATAACGAAAGGAGAAAGTGTAGTAAGTGCTTTTGTGGCATCTTTTGATTGTATTACCATGAAGCGTGGAAATGAATCCACGCCACATGGTTCATCATCTGTATCAGATCCTGGTTTGGTTCGTTTTGGAGTTATTTTTGAATTCTCCATGATGGCAGTTTGAAATATTCAGCACCCATGCTCCCCACCCACTAAGGAGCCCAACAAAAGGACACTTTTCAAGTGCCAGGGATACACAAATACGATACTCAGTTGGTAAAAGTACCTTTAGTTGAGCTTGAAGTCGCCAATTTCGAAGGTCAGTAAAATTTCCCCCCGATTGACCCGTTAAGCCACCGCCTTCTAGGAAGTCTTCTAAGATTTAAGAAAGAAAAAGATATAGCAATAGAATATAGGGGCAACGGTGGTATCAAACGAGATACAAGAATAAAGTAAAATAAAGTAAAAGGAGGTGACAGAGTTAATAAAGACTTCCTAGGGCTCGGCGTGACCAGCCGATTTGTCGAGACCGGGCCCATCTCAACCACCCGTCTTAGGAGAAGTAGAGGCCAAAGTAGTGTGTTGCAACTACCAGGATCCTTCCTCCTCCGTTACGGGTCGCAACCCACGGCAAACAGGTTGTCTCTACTTAGTCGCCTTTTACGACACGTAGCGAGGCACGTCGGGCCAATTCTACAACCCCGAACCAGCAGGGGGATAATCCACTATTAGTGAATATTCTGATTGTTGATTCTGTGAGAAAGAAATACACTTTCCAGACAGACAGAGAGAGAGAGAGAGAGAGAGAGAGAGAGAGAGAGAGAGAGAGAGAGAGAGAGAGAGAGAGAGAGAGAGAGAGAGAGAGAGAGAGAGAGAGAGAGAGAATTAAGACACCTCTGTAAAGATTCATGCATACTCACTCGTATAGTCACATTGAAGTAAGCGACCTGCTTCTGACCATTAGAAAATCCAAATTTTGAGAATGATGTGAAAACACTTAATTTTTGGCCATTGTACTGTTTTCCAAGCAGAATATTTTTAATCCTTCTTAATTATTATGCAAAGAAATTATCATAAATGTCACCTTTGGGTTCTACATTTTCATAACACGTTGAACGAAATCCTCCTTGAAATTCGTCTTTAGAGAAGAGTGCATGTAATTTCCAAATATACATCTGTCAACGAAATCTCACTAGTTGTACGTTCAGCAAAGACAACTTACTAGAAATATAAAGGGCAACAAGCATAGGAACTACCTTTGAACATCTCTAACAAAACTGTTCGAGGATAAGTTCGTACTTGAAAGACAGCGAATACATCATGCGTGCTTAGCTTAAGTTATATATATATATATATATATATATATATATATATATATATATATATATATATATATATATATATATATATATATATATATATATTTAAGTATATTCCGATATGTTGACACTATCTACACCTTGACGGATTGATCAAATATATCTTAGCTTCAGGCCTGGTAATTTCATTGGATGTTGTGGTATCCAATCACAATTAATTTGTTTAACTTTGATCACTGTTCCTACATGATCGAGGGAAGCTAAAAAAAAAACCAGTTTGAATGGACTCTTAAATAAGCAACTTTCACTGCCGGTTCGTGTTGATACAAATACTTTCCACTCAAATCCACCTTTAGAGGTTTCTGCCTACTACTAAGTCGTACGTTTGATGCTTATTAAGAAAGCTTTTGAAGTAAATTGCTTCCACAAATACACAGTTGCTACACGTTAGTAGTTAGTTGGCATTGAATACTAAGGGAGGCAAATCATTAAATCCAATAGATGAAGCTACAAAAAGCACTAAAATATCTAATCGATCAGCAAAGGTGTAGTTAGAGTTAACATATCTGAACCTTTTCTCGCGAAGATGCCCCTGACATTGAATTCAAGCTGGAAAGGTTATATTCATTAAAAGAAAGGTACTGTGTGTGTGTGTGTATATATATATATATATATATATATATATATATATATATATATATATATATATATATATATATATATATATATATATACATACACATTCCGTATTTCAGTCGTTTACGGCGTATCTATCTTTCAACATGGAAGTAAACCATGTGTTACTCTAGCAATGGTGGATTGTTTTGCTGATCCGTGCGCTGTAAGCAGTTGCCCGCAACATCCGGATGCAATTTGCATGTAGGTATTGCCACATTGTTTAGAAACTATGAGCTCAATTCCTTCTGTATTTCACATGCTACCATACATACATGCATACATACATACATACATACATACATACATACATACATACATACATACATACATCCATCCATCCATCCATCCATCCATCCATCCATACATACTTTCTTTTTAAGGTTCATTTCGTTCTTAGATGTGACCACCATATTCAAGTGTCCAGATTGATCTTTATGATATGAATGTAAAATTTTGTAGATTTAGTTACTATTTTTGGTTCTTTTGCTAAACCCAGAATGAAGTTGTTGACCTATTTGCATACCCACGTGCCAAGAACACAGAAGAGATGGAATTAACTAGATCAAGTTTTCTTCTATTTTCGAATGCGTTCCGTGCCCCGCTATATAAAATAGGAAACTATGTAAACACAGGAATGCACATGCTAATGAATAAATCAGATTACATTGTCAACAGGTCTTGCAGCCATTAAAAAAAAACCGAAGGAAAAACAAACCTCGTTCATATTTTCTCATATCAAAATGCAGTAACACACACACACACCTTACTAATTTTTTTATAAAAAAATAATCTTCACTTTGCAGCAGCTTTAAGGAATCGACACATGTGCCACGAGTAGTTGTCATCACTGAGTAATGGTTGCTTGTGATTATTATTATTATTATTATTATTATTATTATTATTATTATTATTATTATTATTATTATTATTATTATTATTCAGATCTAACTTTTGCGGAGGATGTAGACATGAATACTTCAACGCTGATGGAAATCGTCTAGACGACTGCAGTAGTCCGCTCCTGCTTTCATGAGAATGTAAAAGCTTTGCCTTGCATGCAGTGTTTCTGTGTACATGGTAAAATATTTTAACTCTCTATATGATCAGAGTATAAAACCTTTTTTCTTATTTTAAGGACGTGATTCAGTAGCAAAGATAACATGATTTCATTTTTTTTTAAATTTTCAAAACTTAGACTATTTATAGGATGTATCTTAACGCATTACATATATGCAAATCGCCCAAATCCACTTACATATGCAAAGCCAACCAGTCGCGTCCTAATGGTAAAGGTCGCCCGGGGCGATGACGAAGGCACAAAGGGGTTTGGTGCTACAAGACCTCTGACCCCCGGGGCAACCACCTCGTCAGCAACAACGCTCAGGTGGCCTAGCGGTTAGAGCGTCCGCCTCGGATGCGGGAGGTTGTGAGTTCAAACCCCAGACGAGTCATACCAAAGACTTTTAAAAATGATACTAGCAACTGCCTTGCTTGGCTTTCGGCATTACTAGGTCAGTGTTAGGACTGGTCGGCTTGGTGTCAGAATCATGCTGCTTGGTCGGACATAATACTACATGTTTGAGGCATGATGCCCCAGTGCTAGACATCACTGTAAACTGCCACACTACAGACACCGTAGCGATATGACTGAAAAATTGCTAAAGCTACGTTAAAAATCAAACACCCACACACATACACACACACACAAGTCTCGTCCGTTCCCCCTGCCCCCTATTAATTATGCTACTGACCATAACACTTTACATTACCACTCCACCATTTTCTAATGTTTTGTACATTATTTTTTCTAGTTTGTATTTCGTGTTTGTCGATATCCCCTCCTGCTCAGAGGTGTAGGGGTCAAGAATTTATGTTGGCGGTGGTAGTCAGTTTTAGTTTTGTGGATGTATGTTGCTTCTTCCACCGACGATGACCTTTATTCTACTTATATCAATTTGTTTGCGAATATGCTAAGCCACCAATCTCAGTAAACTTTCAGATTTCAGCAATATTCAATAGTAATGGTCGGTGTTTTGTTGTGGTTCAATAGCTGTATTAGTAGTAGGAGTAATGGTAGAAGACTTAGAGTTAAGGTAGCAGCAGCAGTAGTAGTTGTAGCAGTAGTAGTGACGTCAGTAGTAGTATCGGCAGTAATAACACTAGTAGTGTCAGTATTAAGCAGTTGTGTCAGTAGTACAACTTGAAGATTTTCCTGAATAGCTTTAGTAGTGTCAGTAATAACATTTATATTGTCAGTAGTATAACTAGTAGTATTAGTAGTAATATCTGTGTCATTAAAAGCAGTGGCAGTTTCAGTAATAACATTAATAGTGCCAGCAATAGAAGTCATAGTGTCAGCAGTGGTGCAGTGTAAGTAATAGATGTAGTACTGTTAGTATTAACATAAGTGTCAGTAGCAGTAGTAACAATATTAGAGGTAGTAGTGCCAATAATGCAGTGTTAGTGTCGGTAATAGCAGGAGTAATGTCAGTAATGCCAGTAGTATTGTCAATAATTGTGACAGTAATATAAGTATTAGTAGTGTCCGTAGTATTCTCCGTCAGTAATAGTGGTAGTGTTATAACAGTAGGAATAGTGTCAGTAGTAATAGCAGTAGCAGTGGCTGTAACAGCAGCAATGTCATTAATAGTAGCAATGCTATCAGTAGTAATAGCAGTAGCAGTGGCTGTAACAGCAGCAGTGTCATTAATAGTAGCAATGCTATCAGTAGTAATAGCAGTAGCAGTGGCTGTAACAGCAGCAGTGTCATTAATAGTAGTAATGCTATCAGTAGTAATAGCAGTAGCAGTGGCTGTAATAATAATTATAGTGTCAGTAATGGAAGTAGTTTGTCAGTAGTAGTAGTAGTAGTAGTAGTAGTAGTAGTAGTAGTAGTAGCAGTAGTAGTTGTAGTGTCATTAGTAGCAACAAAAGCATCACTATTAAGTGTAGGATTATGTCAATAGTGCTACCAGTAGTAGGAATAGTAGTAGAATTTCTATTCTAATTTCTATAACACTTTTTAGAAAATAACTTATGTATAACATTCTCTTGATTTTCCATTTCAGGAATCACCTACAGATTTCCAAGCCCCTTTTCTCCAGCATCGTTTAACGTAAACATTTTAATACTTTGTTTAATTTCAAGCAATAAAAAAAGAAAAAAAAATGTTAATGTGTTTCAATTAAAAAAGATATAAGAGTTAGGAACAGAGGATAACAATAAAAGATGTGCAGTGAATTGGAAGTCCCATCAATCAGCCCTTTTTCGTGTCCCCTCTGTCAAGCATGCAAAAGATGCTAACCACTCTATCAAGCTTAAACGCAAATGAAACATGAAATTTAGGGCACAGCAAACTCCATTTGGAAATTTGAAATTGTACTTCACAAGAGTGCTGACTCATACTCGGACAATTTGTGAAGCTACTTTGCATTGGGAGGAGTGAAGCAAGCTTAAAATAATTGAATTTATAAAAGATATGCCTTGTAATTATAATTATATATCTCCTACCAATGCTAGATACTGAATTCTATTTTCTGTGACCTATAGAACATCACGCTTTCCAAAACTCGTCGTAAAGTTTTTACTCTATATATCTACATATCTCAGATGAAACTATGCTATCAAAGACATGTACTTTCTTCATTCACCTGCAGTCTATACCAAACATTGCCAAATCCCACATCTCTCTCTCTCTCTCTCTCTCTCTCTCTCTCTCTCTCTCTCTCTCTCTCTCTCTCTCTCTCTCTCTATATATATCTCTATATATATATATATATATATATATATATATATATATATGAAGTTTATATATATATATATATATATATATATATATATATATATATGAAGTTTATAAAGAGATATATATATATATATATATATATATATATATATATATATATATATATATATATATATATATATATAAAGAATAAAAATCATATGGCGAATAACAGCCCTCTCAAGCGTACTGGATCCACCAAGGGATCACGTTTGTCAGGGATTAATTAAAATAGTTGCAATAAACTGACGACGAACAGTACGAAACTAGTAACTAACTAGCCTAAGCGCTTTCGACTCTTAATGAGTCTTTTTCAAAGGCAAATACAAAACATAGTTACGACAAACAAATAAACACAAAAACGTTGCGTTTGTAAACCTCTACATTTCTATCTTCACATGTGCTAAAACTATAAATACAACCAGCTTGTATAAACTAGTTGCGGAAACTGAAAACGTTGTATAATTCCCTAAAAGTCTACAAGCCAAAGCGACATCTATTTTTACTTTGTGTACATATGTAACGCAGATTATATCCCGGACATTTGATTCCATACCGGCTATTCTTATAGTAAAAATTGAAGGATAAGAAGATTTAGAAAATGTTAAATTCTACTAGTGCATAGCTTTCATTCTCCAGTCTTCTTGGTTTAGACCGCTTGGTTTCAATGTTCTAAGGCGGCGTATCCAGTATGATTCCTTTTCCTTCCTGGTTTCGGAACTCCAGCTGTGGTTGTTGGCAATAGCGATAAGTATTATATCACTGAAAGTGTGGCCATGGGAGGAGAAGTGTTCTGCGACCGGGCTTCTGTACAGCTTTTTTGTCATCCAATCAGATCTATGAAGGTTTATCCTTATGTGAAGCTTTTCAGTTTCTCCCACGTACTGAAGGCCACAGATCTTACATGTGATGAGATAAATCACATTCTCTGTTTTGCACGTTTTGTTTGGACCATATATGTTTAGTTTTTCTTTAGTCACTGTGCTAGTGAATGTCCTGGTCTCTATCATATGTTGACAGGTTTTGCATCTTTTATCGCCACAGGGTCCAGATTGACTAGGTTGGTTTTGACTAGCGATTGTTGTTAGCTTGGCCCTGACTAGGATGTCCTTTAGGTTTTTTGGTCTCCGGTAAGCTACCACACTTTCAGTGATATAATACTTATCGCTATTGCCAACAACCACAGCTGGAGTTCCGAAACCAGGAAGGAAAAGGAATCATACTGGATACGCCGCCTTAGAACATTGAAACCAAGCGGTCTAAACCAAGAAGACTGGAGAATGAAAGCTATGCACTAGTAGAATTTAACATTTTCTAAATCTTCCTTATCCTTCAATTTTTACTATAAGAATAGCCGGTATGGAATCAAATGTCCGGGATATAATCTGCGTTACATATGTACACAAAGTAAAAATAGATGTCGCTTTGGCTTGTAGACTTTTAGGGAATTATACAACGTTTTCAGTTTCCGCAACTAGTCTATACAAGCTGGTTGTATTTATAGTTTTAGCACATGTGAAGATAGAAATGTAGAGGTTTACAAACGCAACGTTTTTGTGTTTATTTGTTTGTCGTAACTATGTTTTGTATTTGCCTTTGAAAAAGACTCATTAAGAGTCGAAAGCGCTTAGGCTAGTTAGTTACTAGTTTCGTACTGTTCGTCGTCAGTTTATTGCATATATATATATATATATATATATATATATATATATATATATATATATATATATAAACTTTTAATATATATATATATATATATATATATATATATATATATATAAAGTTTTGGTTTGTGGCTTTATCTATCTCTCTTTCTCTGTATACATACATACATACATACATACATACATACATACATACATACATACATACATACATACATACATACATACATACATACATACATACATACATACATACATACATACATACATATATATTTATATATATATATATATATATATATATATATATATATATATATATATATATATATATATATATATATAATGATAGTTCCAACTCTTGGCAAAGATTGTGGTTGATTTTCAGATTGTTGTTGATGTTGTTGAATGGGTGGTGGTTGAGATGCTTGAAAACGGCCAGAGATATCGACAGGCAATATTTCAAGAGCTTTCTGTGTTGCTTTAGCTGCTTTAACAATTTGGTTTCACTATTGGTTAGAATAATTGTCCATAACCTTCTGTATATTTCACATGATATCCCTATTGCGCTTGTAGTTATTGCTTGACAGAATCAAAGACAGGTATATACTTTTTTATTGCCTCTACTTGCTGTCGAGTTAGATTAGATTTGTGAGATTCCATTATTGATCTAATAATGATTTAATTATAGCATCAAGGAGGTTGGACGAAAAACGGTAATTGACTTGACGATTAAAGAGACACGCCATAAAAATTTGAAAACACAAGCTCGAAAATTAAGTATTAACATGAGCTAACCCAATTAGAGACATATAATGGTCAGTTAGAGGCTTTGGTTTGACGTTGCTGCCCTTACGTTTTCATTTTTTATAGGAAGCTTCATTTCGGTCCGAAAAACTGGTCTGTTCAGTCTCCATAATGCTCTCCCTTCTTTTAATATGATTTACTAATATGAAATCTATAAGAAATGCAGGTTTGGAATACCAAGTATGTCATATTCAAG